CAGTCTGGGCGACAGAGTGAGACTCCAACTCAAAAAAAAAAAAAACAAAAACAAAAATAACTTTCCAGTCACCCCTTGTTATCTTGTTTTATTTTTTTCATGGCACATATCTTTGATAATTTCTGGCTTATTTGTTTACTTATTTATTTTGTGTTTCTCTCTGTAGGAGTGCAAGTTCCTTGGGAGCTAGACTCTTTTTCTGTGCATATCCCCAGCATCTGGAGTGACTACATGTCATGTAGTAGATGCTTAGTAAATATTTTGCTGAATGAATGAACATTTAAGGGGAGAGATTAAATTAGAATTGCTAAAATAGAACAGGCTGCCTGAGGAGGTAGTAAATTTCCATCTTTGGAAGTGCTCAAGGAGAGACTGAAGGATCATTTGTGGAGGAACTTTTGAACTGGCATTCTTTGCTTTTTTTGTTTTCAATGCATCTGAAAGATGTGACACTCGTATCAGTAGCACTGGCTCTAGAGAGTTTGTAATTCTGGGGTGGCTTACCAGATTCTGTGAGTGATGAATATCTCCAGGCGATTCATGCAGCCTCCTCCAGCATGCCCAACCTCTCCTACCTCTTGGGCATTTTATGTGCCAGAGGGGTGTTAGTCTTTATGACCTCTCAGGTTCTTTCCTCTCTGTAGGACTCTGATTCTTGTGCCATTGAAAAAACCTGGGTTACTGTGCTCATGATAATGATAACACCAAATACATTACCTTCTCCACCTTCGTGAAGAGTTTTTCTTTTGTCCCCTAATTTCCTGAAAACTACCTCCTGTCCTTCACCCCTGTCCTTCACCCCAGTAACCACTGTTGATAGTTCGGTATCTGTTTTTCCAGATTTTTTTTCTAGATTCCAACTGTAATAAGTGACATAATAATTATATATATATATTATATATATATATGTAATTATTTACAGATATAAACATTTTTAAAAAATATGGAGTGGAATAACATTTTGGCTTTTTTCAATTACTATGTCTTAGATATCTTTACTATCAATATGTAGAGAATTTACTTTATTCTTTTGAATAATTGCATGAGATTTCATTGCATGCCAGTGTAGTTTAATCCCTTTGATGGTGTTTGGACTATCTTAATTTTTTTCAACTTTATAGACATACTGTTAGAATGTCTTTTTTTTTTTTTTTTTTTTTT